TATTTTCTTTATTCTTTACAGTACATTTTTGAAAATGGGATTATCAACTATTTGCTATGATATATAATGGAGACAGCTATGCCTTTTTCAGTATGGAATATATTATGATTTGAAATCATTTAGCTCCCAAAATAATATTGCTGTGAATATCTGTATTTTGACGCTCAGGATATTTACTTGAGTTTACCATACTTCAAAAGTTCTGTTTTACTCACCACCCATTTTGTTTTGGCCTTTACATTACATACATTTTGTATTTGCTGGAAAGATATATGCCAAACTATTTTTGAATGTTAACAACTAAACATAAACTCTCTAAGTCTCAAAATCTATTCCAGAAGCGAAATATCATTTTGTAATTGCAGTTGCAAATATTTTAGTCTGCCTGTTTCCTGAATGTAATTAATTTACTTAGAAACTTTAATTCTGAATTTAGCTTGTTTTTCAAATACTGCGCCTTCAAGCATGAATTTTTTAAGTTCTTTGTTTCATTTATTTTACTGAAAGAAACATCTGACGTTTGAAGGAACACATTCCAAAAGTATAAAGCTCAGCATGTGCTAGCTTGTGAGATATGTTCTATATGTACTAGTAATGGTGATGGTGGTGGTGGTGGCTGATAATAGCAGCAGCCACTTCCTAATTTTTAGGACTCAGAAAATTCTCCCCCCCCCAAAGGAATCTGAAGTCACTTTAAGAAAAACATATGCTGTATCTTTGGGCAAAAATAATTTTAAAATGTCTGGCATAGTGCCTTGCAGATTATAAGTTCATCATAAATATTTATTGCTTACTTTTGGATAGACAGGAGTCACAAAAGCATTTAGCTAACAGTAGGGTGTTGCAGATACTGGCTGAGATACACTGCTTTGAGTGTTCTATTGGTGCTAAAGGAACAAAATTACCTTCTTTGAAGAGGATTGCGTATTCCTGTTTCAGTACAGAAGTGAGAGCCATCTCAGTTTTAATAAGAAAAATAATGTTGAAATCAATGAAAATTTATTATTTTCCAGAATTGAAAATTAGGAGATATTTGTTCTTTTCTTCATAATTGTCTAATATTATCACAACTGTTACGTGTGTTACAAGCCGTTGAATAGTCTCCAATTCCTGGGCTCCCTGTGAGTAAGTGACGTCCACACAGCCCTGCTCAGCTCCTGTAGACTCATGTCCATGGTGTTTCTATGGGGTCAGTCTGTCTCATATTTGGCCTTCCTCTTGTCCTGCTGCCTGCCATTTTCCTGGCTTCAGCATTATTGCCTTTTCTTGATGTGCCCAAAAGTGGGACAACTTCAGATTTGTCATATTTGCCTCCAGCGATGTTTCAGGCCGAATTTGCTCTAGGACCCACTTGTTCATCTTTCTGACGATCCATGGTATCTGTAGAGAGCCGCCTCCAACACCATGTTTCAAATGATCGATTTTTTTTTTTCTACCAGCCTCCTTCAGCGGTCAGTCTTTGCATCCATGCATAGTAACTGGGACTATGCGGGTGCGGATGCTGTGAGCCTTGCTCTCTGATGACACAGCTTTGCTCTTGGAGATCTTTCCTGGTTGTCCCATTGCTGCCCCTCCGAGTCTCAGCCTTCTCTCGTCTCCACTTGAACTGATGACCGAACCAAGGTCAGCAAAACCTTTAACATTTTCAGTGTCTTCCTTGTCTGTGTGAAAGTTGTGTATTTCTCCTGTAGTCATGACTTTTGTCCTCGACGTTCAAATGCAGCCCTGCTTTGGCACTTTCTTCTTTCCCTTTCATCAGAAGTTGTTCCAAATCATCGCTACTTTCTGCCAGTTAGATGGTGTCATCTGCATATCTTAAGTTACTGATATTTCTTACTCCAGTATTCACTTCTTCCTGAGGTTAGCCCATTTTCGTATGATAATGTTCTGCATACAGACTGAACAAATAGGGAGATAAAAAGCACCCCTTCTGACACCTTTGCCTACACCATTGTGTTCCTCCATATTCTGCCCTGACAGTGGTTTCCTGTCCACAATACAGGCGAGGCATCAGGACCGTCGAATGCTGTGCACGCCCATTTCTTTCGGAGCAACCCGTGGCTTTTCATGATGGACGCAGTCAAGGGCTTTACTGTAGTCTATAAAACAGACTGACCTTCTGAAATTCTTTGGAGCTCTCCAGCATCCAGCAAATGCTTGCAGTTAGATCTCGAGGGTGGCTTCCTTTTCTGAATCCAGCTTGTACGTCCAGCATTTCATGTTAGCTCTTCCTGTGTTTAGTCACTTTTCTAAGCATTGTTGGCCCTGAAATAAGAATCCCTCAATTTGAATCCTGGCTCTGTCACTTATTAATTGTATGATTTTGGGCAAGTTGCTTAACTTTACGAAGCCGCAATTTTCTTATCCTTATAAATGGATGAATGAAATGACAGTACTTACACCAAATGGTTGGTGTGAAAATTAAATGAGGTCATCATTGTCACAGTCATTGTGAACAGCTGACATTATTGATCCTTTTCTACATGTCAAACAGATACTATACATACATACCTTACTATCATTATACCACTTCACAGAGGGAGAAAGTGAGTGAGCCTTAGAGAACTTGTGACTTTCCAAATCACTTAGACTTGTGCCAGTTGCACATAGCAGAAACTTGATGACTTGTGGCTCAAGCAGATATTCATTTTTCTTGCAGAAGAATTCTGGATGTTGGTGACTTCTAGGGTCACTTCAGCAGCTCACCAGCATCAGTGCTGGCTTCTTGTGTCATGGGCTCAGTAAGGCTGCCAGTTGTCAGAGCAACCTCTCTGTTCCAGAGCAGAAGGGACAGGCAGGGACCATCAGCTGCTCTGCCTCTTTTATCTTGAAAACAGAATCTCCTTTAGAAACCTCTTCTAGACTTCAGCCTACCTTTCCTTGTTAGATCTGTATAAGATGGCCCCTCCCTGGCTGCACGGAAGGCTCTCCAAACATTTTGAACAAACCTTATCTGACATCTACGTCGTATACTTTTTCTTCTTGAAATTTTGTGTTTTTCAAAATAAAAATTATTTGCCTTTGTAGGGTGGCTGCATTTTGAAGGTAAAGGTTATGTGTCCCTCCTTCCCTATCATAAAACAAAACGAAAATTAGTGACCGAATGCTTTTTATATTAGAAATGACTACTAAGATATGTTTGTTACAGGGGATTTCTGATAACATTTTTCAACTTTCTATAGTAAAGAAAACATAATACATAATTAAGGTAATGAGTTTTTGCCTCTTTCCGTTCTAGTTATTATGTTTTAACTCATGGTAAGTGAGTTTGTTCTTTGCTCACTTCCTAAGGGGTGGTTATCCACTGATTTCATTTTCTGGAAAATAAAATTATGTCACAATTCTTGGAAACTGCTTATTTATTTATTTATTTATTTATTTATTGTTTTGTTTTTTCAGAGATGGGGCTGGGGTGAAGAGTGGGTGAAATTAGGTCATAATCCAAATTTTCTATTAATTCCTCATATACATCACCCTAGCTTACTGCTTTATTCTGTCTTTTTTATATTTGCGGTATATTGCAGGGAATTGTGTAGAGAAAAAAAAGGTAAGATACATTAGTGTTTTGAGCTAGATAGCATTCACTTTTGTAGGCGAGGAGACGGAGGCCTAGAGAAGTCGGAGAAGCTCTGCAGATTGGTAGCCTGTTGCTCTGGGCTGGGGCCTGACTCCCACAATGCACTGTGAGCATGAAATCCTAGGCGTTCTGTCCACCGAGGACGCAGCTTTCTGTCTCTGTAAAAGTATTTCCATGATGTGTTTATCAAAACGTACCTCTCAGTATCACGTTTTACATGTCAACAACTTCTGTTGCAATATTTTGTAAAATAATTAAGCATTATTAAGTATAAGCCATAATTTATCTTAGGCCACACTTTTTGATTTCTGTTTTACCAAATCACCGTACCAGAGATGTTATCAAGCAGTTTTATCTAAGTTAAGCTAAATTCAGCCACACCGTTGTCAACCATAAACGGCCATTGACTAATAAAGGAATGGACTGTTCCCATGTTGAACTTTGTATGTTGAACTTTCTAGTCTTAATTTCCAAGTAGGTCTTTCTAACGAATGGCATTGCAGTGTGGTCTGTGTACATTTCTGTGTAGCTCTATTTTCAGGTTTGTTTTTTTAAATTGCATAATTACCAAGCCAAATATTTCTAGTTGCCATTTTATAAGAAAAAGGAAAGTAGAAAAAGAAGTATTTATACATCTGTCATTGTAAATATCAACTGCTGTGCTCTTTTACATTGAAATTTTATGGCTTACTGAAAATGCATAAACTTGAGTTTAGGCAAGTATTCTTTCTCATTTTTATATATTCTTTTGTTTATTATAAAAAAATAGTATTGACCAAACCAAACCTGGTTAAGTCTCTTGGTTTTTTCATTTTAGATTAAAACTTTAATTCATTTATTCTGTATGTTGATCACTGCCGTGTCAAAGCTAATGTTCTTCAGTGATCAAGCCAAATTACTAAAATTATATTATGTTGGCATTTCGGTTATTAATTTTTTTGTTTCAACTTGTAAAAGTAATGCATTCTCATTAAAAAAGCTATGGGAAATTCCCTAAGTAGGAAAATTTAAAAACTTCATAGGTCCAATTTTATAACTGTGTGTGATAATGGATGCCAATGAGATTTACTGTGATCATTCACAATATATACACATCTCAAGTCATTATGTTGTACACCTGAAACTAATGTTCTGTGTCAATTATATCACAATTAAAAAAATATTGCTAAAACTCGAAGGTCCACCAGTCATTTTGGCGAATTTCCTTCCAATCTTTTCATCTAGACACAGATTTTTGTTTTGTTTGTATATGGCTTTAATCATTCTCTATATAAGTTTATATCATGAGTTTCTTATTTAATTATATAGATAGCATTTTTTATTATGAAGGATGTTTTATATATCATTGAATATAATACATTTCCTTTAAGCATTCCTGTTTATTAGACATTTAGGTTGTTTCTACTCTTTTAACTCTTATAAGTGACACAGCTGTGAACATCTTCGTGAGACTTCTAAGATTATTTCCTGAGGAAAGATTAACTGGAATAACTAGGCTTAAAGGTAATTGATGTTTTTCAGACTTATGCAAACAGATTGAACATTTCATATGTTTATTTATTAATAGTATTTCCTTTTTGTAGATTGTCAGTTTCTTTGCTTAGTTTATCTTTTGGGATTATAGTATCTTCCTAATCTATTATAGGCGCTCTCGATACAATTAAGATTGTTTGTCTTTTTATTTAAAAATTCCATTTTATTACAAAACTAATTCAAGCTTATTGCAAGATACAAATTCAAGTAAATTAATGGGAAAAATCAAAGATCACTTAGTGAAAACATTTTAATATATGTGTAAAAAAAGTTAACAAAAGATCATATTTTTGAATACCATTTATAACTAGCTTTCCTTCCAAATAGATATGTAAATATGTCATAAACAAAATTATTAGACTGCATAGCATTCCATTACTATAATTTATTTAGCTAGTCCCTTATTGATATATACTGATGGTTTTTCCATCTTTCACAATTTTTGTAAACAACACTTCAGTGACAATTCTGTGTGTAAATCTTGGTGTGATTGTCTGATTATTTCTTTGGAATAAACTGTTTGTAGTGAGAGAACTGGAAAGGATATACATTCTTAAAAATTGATGCATATTTTCTATTTGCCACAAAGTAGCTGTCTCTATCACTAGGTGTTATTTTATTTTTCACGTTTGCCAACCAGTTGCTCATTAAATGCTTTTGGATTTATCACTTCTTAATTTATATCCTTTGTCATAACTGTTAAAACTGTTTGCTCCCAATTTATTGTCAATTACTTTTGCCATGTAAAACTTTTCTGTTATATAATTGATTTATCTATTTTTTTCTTTCATAGTTTCTACTTTGGGTGCTATGCTTAGAAAGACCGTTGCCTCCTAGGAAATATTGGCAGATCTTTCCTTCTCGTATTTTATAATTTTATATTTAGTTAATTTATTTTCAACTATTTGTAATTTATTTTGGAATAAGTCATAACTCCTACCTCCCCCACCCCATAATGATAATTGCTAATATGCATTGAGCTCTTTATTACCTTCTTTTTTCCTAAGACACACATTTCTTTGCATTTCAACCTCTCTTACCTCCTTGAAATCACTGTTGGCCAGGTGACACTTGTGACACAGTTGTTGTCATTGCCTGCCCATATGTGAAGTTATAGTCTCTTTACATTATTATCATTCTTTGAGCAGATATGGTCTCCATAAACTGTAAATCACAACGTATTGGGTAATTCTCAGTTTTTTCTTTTCTGTAGTAAAATAAACTAGGCGGTATTAGAATGCATTGCTTTGGGGGAACTTATTTCAGTTGTGTGTATAGAAGCCGATCTCAGTATGAGGGTGCTGGTTATGACGTGAACTGTTTCTGACTTTGTCAGCCACCATTGGGCAGACATCGTGATGGTGAGGCTGGAGGCAGTTGTGGAAGATCGTAACCACTGCTGACCAGAAGGGACAGAGTGTCTGGTGCTGGAATGCGATGACAGATAAGAATTCTGTGTATCGCCGACCTGTATCTTCTGAGGCTGTCCACCCTCTCTGTGCTCCTGGTCACACTTTCCTGCAGCCATTTGTCTACCTGCTGCTGTTCCCAGTGTTCTGGGCTCTCCTTGGCAGAAGCACCCACGGCAGTCAGTGATGCTCGGCCATCACTTCCTTCAGTCTCCGCTTCACACTTAGTCGTCGATACCAACTCGCCCAAGCCCTCCCACTGGGAAGCACCCACCCCTAGCTGTCCAGAACATGCATCGTTTATAAAGCTGTTGTTCCCAGATTGCTCACCACAAACCCACTGGACATTAACTGTATTATCTAAATTTACTGTATGGTTGTAGATGCTAGCTTGCATTTCTTTTCCAAATCAGCATTCTGCGTTTACATTGCATGTTGAATACCCATCAGTTTTCTACCTTAAAGATAGGTTTTTTTCTTCTTCTTTCTAATGACTGGAAGTATGCACACACCAGCCGAGTAGATAAATTCTAATTTAGTTTTTGAGAAAAATTTAATTTCTCCCTTTCTATTCATGTTTAAGATTTTCCAATATTTTAGAAATGTTTGACATATATCTATAGCCCATGTATAATACTTTCATATTGTTTAAATAATAAAGGGAATATTTACTACATGGTAACCCTTTTAAAAATAACAATTTAAAGTTACCTTTCTGTGTTCTGAATTTCATGGACTAATAGTATGTGGTTTTTAAAATGTATAGTTACCAATACTTGGGTTTCTTTCTTCAGTTACCTATTAGCAGAAAATAAGAAGTTTGTATTCATGACGTGATTAGTGGTTATGATTTTGAAAGCAAGAACCTTCTGATGGGTGGGAATGTAAAACGGTGCAGCCACTGTGGAAATGTTTGGCAGTTCCTTCAATACTTAAACAGAGTTACCATCTGACCCAGCAATTCCACTGGTAGGGAATCTACACCCAAAAGAAAGGAAGATATGTGTCCACTCAAAAATTTGTACACAGATGTTCATAGCAGTATTATTTATAGTAGCCAAAAGGTAGAAACAACCCAAATGCCCACCAACTGATGAACCGATAAAATGTGTGCGTGTGCGTGCGTGTGTGTGTGTGTGTTCGTGTGTGTTCCACACAATGGAATATTATTCAGCCATAAAAATTAGTGAAGTACTGATACATGACACAACATGACTGAACCTTGAAAACATTATGCCAAGAGAAAGAACCCAGTCACAAAGGGCTACGTATTATATGGTTTCACATGTATGAAATCCAGACTAGGCAAACATTTAGAGGTAGGAAGTAGGTTAGTGGTTGCCTGGGGATGGGAGGATGAGAGGGGGGCTTAACGGGGTGATGGCTAATTTTAGAATGATGAGAGTCTTCTGTCGATCGTGATGATGGATGAACCATTAAATGGGCGAGCTGTATGGTACATGAGTTATATATTAATTGTTTTTAAAAAGAATTTTTCTGTGTAAGAATGGCAACATAAGGGAGTGAGGAGACTCAGTTTCTTTCTGTTCTATTTTGTTAGCCTGAGCAAGTCAACATCCTCCTTGGTTCCCAGTCCTGTTGTCTTGTTGATCTTTTTAGAGCCTTCCCAGCTCTAAAACCCATGATTTTAATTTTTGGGGAAATGATCTGATTACAGCTGTCAACAAGCGTGCACTTAGACACACTGATTGCTCTTATTCAATGGTTTCCCAAATTGCTGGCATGCTGAATCAGTGGGACTAATCTGGCTGCCCTCTCCTCCCTTATCATGGCTTCTGAAGGAAAGCTCATTGTTTGTTTATATTAAAGGCAGCATTTTCCCAAAGTTACTATGCAGTGCAGTTCACCTCATTTCTTAGCCCAAACAATGCATGTGGTGCCACGGAGTCTACTGTCAAAGAGCTTTCGTTATTCTTTCAGAAAACACGCTAAGAGTAGCCCTTGTTCCTGCAATGTTAGTCAGAGGGTCTCAGCAAATAACCACAGACTTTATTTATAGCAGTGTATGTTTTGGATTTATAACATTCTCTCTGTTATAGACATAGTGTATTATTTGCTTGGTTACTTTATAATTGTGATAGTTTCATGCCACCCACTGTAGGTTGTTGGTCAGTGGTTATTCTAACCACAAATTAAGGAGTTATTTTTCTGTGGTTCAGTTATACACAAGGATTATATTGCAAAAGTCGCTGGAGCCCAGGTTCTATAAACAGTTTTCTGGAAGAAGTCTTTGTCTAATAGACTGACTAGATGGTTGGTACTCAGAACATTAGAGGATAGAATTTAGGTGATCAAAACGTAAGTTGTCGATCATAAAATTGTTGAACATTGTGCTATAAAATGTCAGATGAGCAATTTGCCAACTGCTCTCCGTGTTGGCATACGGCAGCAGTGTTTTCCATAGGATGGAATTGTAGGGATTTTCCTACCCCCAGAGCAGTGAAGGATTAGACTTTTGGGGGTCACGGGCCCCCTTGAGAATACAGAGAAAGCACCTGTCTGTCTAGGCAGATTTACACATGTATGGACATACACACATTTGCATGTGATTTTAGGGGGTTCATGGAGTCCCCTAACACACCCGTTAACCTTTAGGGACCCAGGAACCTAGGTGTGAGAGCAAGATGGGTTTTAGCTTCTGGAGTCTCCTGGGAATCATTTGGAGAGGGAGCACATGGTCATAAGGATGACCGTGTGTAAGGCGTCCCGAACTTGGAGTATAGAGGCTGTCCCTGTGACCAGCACCATGGGAATGATCACACAAAAGTGCCTGGCTCTTTTGTTCCCTGCTGTACCTGAGTGTGTATTCGGTAGGTGCTCGGTAAACATTTCCTGAATGGATGAGAAATGTGTTCTCTGGAAGAGCTGACTCTTGTTTCCAGACTTCACTGTATCTTGTGTCTACCGTTTCCTATTAACTGATATTTGAGAAGCAAAATAAGGGGAAAATAAGAATGCATCGAGTAATGTCACAGATGTTCACTTTATATCTGAGCCCAAATTTAGTTTGCCTGTATACTTCTCACCTTGTATAACCATAATTTGTTTTCCTTTTGTTGCAGATGACCAAGTTGTTTTTTGTTTTTTTTTTTTTATCACTCTGCCTTTTCCATTTTGGGTATTACTTTAGTAATTAGACAAAGATCAGGATTCATAAAAGTTTTTATACTGTTTCTAGTTATTTTGTAAACCTATGGGATTTCTTGAAATATATTTTTGGCTAAAATTTTGGTCTTATAAGTAATGGAAATTTTGCTCTGTGAGATTTCACTCCAGATTTGTCAGTTCTTTCTCTATACATTAAAAAAATACATAACCCAAAGCTAGGCCCAATATTTTCTTTCTTCTTTGAAAATCAAATATACAGCTAAGATCTCCAAATTGTTTCTGCCTGTCGAATGAATGACTTCAAAAGGCAATGTAAGTCCTTTTCATAGAAATTACTTTTTTTTCCTTAAATAGGTTTAGACCATCATCCTCAGTCACCTTTTGAGAAGTAAATGAAAAGAAGTTACATTATTAAATTACTTTTTTCTTAGTTGTGTACCACAACTAAGAAAGGGGATTCTTAAATTGATTGGAAACTATTACAGTAAAACCTTGGATTATAAGTAACTTGGTTTGCAAGTGTTCTGCAAGACGAGCAAACATTTCTATTAGGTTGGTGCAAAAGTAATAGCAGTTTTTGCGTGAACTGTGTGGTGCATGAGTTATATATTAATTGATACTCGTAATGGCAAAAACTGCTATTACTTTTGCACTAACCTAATAATACATTTTAACTTGGTAAACGAGCGATGTCTTGCAATATGAGTAGTTTTTTCTGGAGCGAATTATGCTCGCAAACCAAGGTATTACTGTATTTAATGACTAATTGCTCTGACCCAGGCAAATGCTTCACACACATGAATTCACTCACCCTCACACAGTTATATTGGGCACGCATGGTTATTATTTCTGTTTTACAGCGAAGGCACCCAAGGGCACAGAGAGGCTAAGTAACTTGTTCAAGGCCACGTGTCACTCACTGGTTAGTAATTTGCAGAGCCTGGATTCAAACATTCACAGTCTGGCTGCAGAGCCAGGACTGTTAACCACCGCACTAGACCGCCTCTTACACTCTAAGTCATGAATAAATGCTAGAGGCAGTCAAGGAAGGCTTCCCAGAGGAGGTTACGTTGGAGCTGATTCCTAACCTAGAAGTTCCCTACGTGGAGAAGAGCGGAAGGCAGATGCCCGGATGCCCAGCAATAGGAAAGGGCGGTGTGCTTCACAGGGAGTGGAGGTCGGAGGGGAGCAGACGGGAAGGAGAGAGGGTGAGTCAGACTGTGAATTGACTTGCGTTCAGGTCAGAGAGTCTGGACTTTTTATTACAGAGCATTCCCATGACATACCTCCAAAGACTGATGCTGGACGGTTACCTCCGAATCAAGTGGGGGCTTCAGTAAAAAGGCAGATTCGTAAGCCCCACTCGAGGGGTTCTGATTCAGAAAGGATGGCTCTGCTCCAGGGTTTCTTAAGGCACCCATGTATCCTTATAATAAAGTCACACTTTCCTCCCCTCCAGCTCCCCCTCCCTCTCTGCCTCTCCGTCTCCTTAAGCTACTTTAAGTTCATTTCTATTTCGGGGAGCCCAGAGCCAGTACCCACACACCAGTCCTTCCTGTTCTCATTCTCTTCCTTGGCTGCTGTCGGAAGCTGCGCCACCAGGACGAGCTGTCGGGCACAGCAGCCACACCAGTTTTGGAAAGTATTTGGCCTTCCTACAGCGGACTTGGAGTCAGTGATTCGGAATACAGGCAGAGCCTTCGTATTTTTATCCCAGCCTAGGCATTTGGGGTGCACATTCCCAGAATGAGCACCTCGAGTGGGAAACACAGTGGTATGCGTTCCAACACAAATTTTTAGATCCCAGCACACATCCAGCATATCTCTAAACACTTAATTTAGGGTTCTGTTTTTCACTGTTCTTTTCGTTCCTTTTTTCAAATGATTCTTTGATTCATGCCAATTTTTCTAGCCAGTTTATGAATATAGAGAAAATGGAACTTAGTTTCTTTTAGGCTGTTAGAACAAAAATACCATGTGGCTTAAACAACAGACAAGTATTTCCCACAGTCCCGGAGGCTGGGAAGTCCCATGATCTGGGCGCTGGCAGAGCCTGTGGGGATTCATTGTCTGTGAATCCACTTCCTGGTTCATAGACAACTGTCTTCCCACTGTGTTCCCACAGGGTAGAAGGGACTGGGAGCTCTTGGGTCCTCTTTTATTCATAAGGTCAGCAGTCCCATTCACGCGGCCTCCATCCTTACAATCTGATCACCTCCCAAAGGCCTCACCTCCAAATACCATCATCTTGGGGACTAGGATTTAACCTGTGAATTCTGTGGGTGGGGGGACACAGACCTTCCATCTGTAGCATTCAGGAATCAAGATTGCTTTTAAATGCGTGTATGCAATTGCTCAGCAGTTTTTAAAAGATGTACGTTGGAGTCAAAGAATCCAAATATATACCTTCCAAGATGAAAAATTTTAAGATGCCAAACTAACTCAGATTATACCTTGGGAGAGTCTAGACCAGGGGTTCTCAACCTGTGGGTTGCGACCCCTTTGGGGGTCGAACAACCATCGGAAAACAAAAAGATATTTACATTACAATTCATAACAGTAGCAACATTACAGTTATAGAGTAGCAACGAAAATAATTTTATGGTTGGGGGTCACCACAACATGAGGAACTATATTAAAGGGTCGCGGCATTAGGAAGGTTGAGAACCACTGCTCTAGACAAAGAAAGGTCCTGATAAACAC